CCTATTCAAGGTCTCTTGTGTTTCCATATGAATTTTTGGATCATTTTTCTCTTAATATCTGAGAAGAATGTGCTGGGTATTCAAATTGGGGGTGCACTGAATCTGTAAATTGCTTTGGATAGTATGGGCATTTTACTGGTATTAACTCTTCTTTTCCACAAACATGGGAGATTTTTTCCATTTTTTGTGTCTTCTTCTACTTCTTGCCTTAATGTTTTTTAATTTTTACTGTGGAGATCTTTTAGACCCTTGGTTAAATTTATCCCCAGATATTTAAAAATTTTTGTAGCTACTGTGAATGAGTTCATTCTCAGTCATGGCATAATTGGTATATACAAATTCTGTTGATTCTTGTGTATTCATTTTTTATATCCTGTAATTTTGCCAGATTCTCTTAAGAGTTCCAGTGTTCTCTCGGTGTACTCTTTTTTTTTTTTTTTACAGGCAGAGTGGACAGTGAGAGAGAGAGACAGAGAGAAAGGTCTTCCTTTGCCGTTGGTTCACCCTCCAATGGCCGCCGCGGCCGGCGCGCTGCGGCCGGCGCACTGCGCTGATCCGATGGCAGGAGCCAGGATCCAGGTGCTTTTCCTGGTCTCCCATGGGGTGCAGGGCCCAAGCACCTGGGCCATCCTCCACTGCACTCCCGGGCCACAGCAGAGGGCTGGCCTGGAAGAGGAGCAACCGGGACAGAATCCGGCGCCCCGACCGGGACTAGAACCCGGTGTGCCGGCGCTGCAAGGCGGAGGATTAGCCTAGTGAGCCGCGGCGCCGGCCTCTTTTGGTTCTCTTTATAGAGGATCATGTTATCTGCAAACAGGGATAATTTTATTTACTTTTTTTTTTAACTTTGTATCCCTTTTATTTCTTTTTCTACTCTGATGGCTCTGGATAATACCTCCAGAACTGTACTTAAAAGTAATGGAAAAAGTGGGCTTCCATGTTTGATTCTAGATCTTAGTAGAAATGCTTCCAGTTTTTCCACATTCAATATGATGCTGCTTGTGGGTTTTTCATATATTGCCTTGATTGTTCTGAGATATATTCCTTCTATACTGAATTTGCTAAAGATGTTATATTTTATCAAATATTTTCTCTGTAATTATAGACAATCATAGGATTTTTATTCTTCAGATTTTTAATGTGATGTATCATGTATATTGATTTATATATATGAAACACCCCTGCATCCCCAGGATAAATTCCACATGTTCAGGCTTGAAGATCTTCTTGATGTGTTGTTGGATTTGATTAGCTGGTATTTTCTTGAGGTTTTTACATCTAAGTTCATTAAGCATATTGGTCAATAGTTATCTTTCTTGATTGTATCTTTTTCTGGTTTTGGAATTAAGGAGATGCTGGCCTCACTGAAGGAGTTTGGGAGGATTCCCTCTTTTTCAATTGTTTTGAACAGGTTAAGAAGAATTGGGATTAATTTGTCATTAAAGGTTTGGTAGAATTCAGCAAATGAAGTCACCTGGTTCTGGGTTTTTCTTTATTGGGAAGACTTTATTACTGCTTCAAACTCTTTTTTGGTTATTTGTCTATTCAAGTTTTCTGTGTCTGCATGCCTCAATTTTGGTAAATTGTATGTATCTGGAATTCAATCTATTTCTCCTACACTTATGCATATATTGGCATATGGCTCTTTGTAATAATTCATAATTATTATTCATTTTATTTTCATGGTAACATTTGTAACATCTTTTTTATCTCTGATATTATTATTTTTATTATTTATTTTTATTTATTTGACAGGTAGAGTTATAGATAGCAAGAGAGAGAGAGAGAGAGAGAGAGAGAGAGAGAGAGAGAGAAAGGTCTTCCTTCCATTGATTTACTCCCCAAATGACCGCCATGGCCAATACTGAACCGATCTGAAGCCAGGAGCCAGGTGCTTCTTCCTGGTCTCCCATGTGGGTGCAGGGCCGAAGCACTTGGGCCATCCTCCACTGCCCTCCTGGGTCACAGCAGAGAGCTGGACTGGAAGAGGAGCAACCAGGACTAGATCCTGGTGCCCATATGAGATGCTGGTGCCACAGGCGGAGGACTAACCAGGTGAGCCATGGCGCCAGCCCCTCATCTCTGATATTATTAATTTGGGTCTAATCCTTCTTCCTTTAGTTGGTTAGTTGGGCCAATCATTTGTCCATTTTGTTTACTTTTTCAAAAATTAGCTCTTCATGTCACTGATTTTTTTTGTGATTTTTAAAAAATTTCAAATTTGTGTATTTGTTTTGTAGTTTTTTATATTTCTTTTTTATTACCACTTTGAGGTTTGGTTGCTTCTTATTACTCTATGTCTTTGAGATGCATTGCTAGATTGATTATTTGATATCTTTCTAATTGCTTTTTAACACTGCTTTTTGCTGTATCCCATAGATTTTGATATGTAAAACCAGTATCTCAATATTTGTTTACTTTGTATTATTTAATCACATTACTTGGGAAATTTTCATATTCTTTATTCACATACCCTGCACCAGGAAACTAATACACGCACACACACACACACACACACATACATACATGTGTGTGTGTATACAAATGAATATATTAAAATCAACCAGAATCCTTGCAGTTCTATGTAAGTTACAACTGACTGGTTGAAGACATTATCCAGTTGGTGAACTCCCTTTACTGAGGAACCACTAGCCATAAGCAGGCTGCAGCCAGTGGTAAGAATTCTGTGCACAAGCAGCAGTTGTCACCTCAACCTCAGCTTTCTAAAGTAAAAAGCCCCAGACCATTCATTGGAATGCTAAATCCCCACCTCCAGCTGAATATGATGGCATATGTAGCATAGGTAATAGCTTACTGGGCGCACACACCTACACCCCTTTGGATATGCATAATCCTTCTTGAACTTCGAGCCAGATGTAATGAGTCCATGTGACTTCCCTGAAAGCATACTCTACTCAAATTGTAACTCTTTGTTTCTCAGGAGCCTGACTTTGGATATTAGCCAATTTCAATCTTGGCTCACGTTAACCCTCATTACATTCCTTACTGATTACAACTCGACAATTGACTTTGCCTTTCTGTTGTCATGTATACTAGACAAGAACTATGTATAGATGATTCTTTGTGTCTATGCATCAAGAATTGCACCCAACTTCTACAGGTAGAAATTAGCATGAGTTCTCGGACAACAACCAATTTTCTGACAGCAATTGAGTGTCCAGCAAATCAATGCACACACAATGCCCACCTGGAAGGATTAGCATCAGATACCGTAAGCTATAGGGCTCAGCCCCCCAAAGGACTGACTGGATTTCAGATGCCAATCACAATTCCCCTCCTTGGAGAAACAATCTGTTAGGAAGTCCCACAGAACTCAGCCAAAACCCTTTACTGATATTTAAGTTTACTGTAAAAGATGCCACAAACAGGCAGATGGATGGAATGCCTAGGGCAAGGTGTTGGAGGAAAGGTGGAGGGCTCCCACGTCTTCTCAGGTAGAGGCTGGTTTCCAGGATGACCACATGAGTGCACTACGCTCCCTGCGAGTTGCAAATTCACGATATAGAACCTCCGGTCCCTTTGTCCTGGAGTTCTTACACAGCTTATCTCTTTTCTCCCAAGAAATCAGAGGAGAATGGGTGAAAGTCCTAACCCTCTAATAGCTTGGTCATTCTAATAACCGGCTCCATCCTGAGGCCATCAAGAGATCCTGCTCTAAGTTGCTTCAGTAGCAGAAGTGAAAGTGTGAGGGAAATGAATAAAAACTCAGTTTTGACTGAGGGGCTTATTATGAATAGCAAAATACACTGCTCATTCTCATGATTCTCTACAGGTTTTATTCAGAGCTGTGTGCCAGGAAACAGGGAAAAAGCCAAATTAATTTTCATATTATATCACATATCTGTTATGTGTTAGTGACTTTTTCTCTAAGTTATTCACTACAAAATTAGCTAATAAGTTATGTATTTACACTGTGGTAGTTTTGGTAAATATTTTCCAGTTAATTTTAAGTGGCCTTGTTGATACTGACATGTTACTTTTTAAGATAGTATGTTCCTTTGTGATTATCATTTTCATGTGACATTTTCTCATTCTGATATGTTTTCAGCTCACTGGAATTTTCCCCTTATTGTTCACTTCTTAAAATATTATGTGCATATGGTAATTATTTTATTAAAATACATCATAATTGTATACTTTTTTTCATTAATCAGCTAATTTTTTTAAATCACTGCTTTGAAAATCCCTTACTAGGTTTCTGTATTTCATTACTAGCTCCTATGAAGTGGCCAAGTTTTTGGTAAGAATATTATCTTCCTTGGAAGAATTATTTGTGGAGTAGGTTAATATGCATAATGTTGTTGATCTTCAGATTATTTTAATAGCATAACACTTTTGTGATATTTTAACATTTTTTGGTTTATTGATTGTTTATTTTTATTCTTGATTTGCACAGATTACCGCAGGTCAATTCCCAGCCTAAGAAGGAAGCTTAGCTTCTCAAGTGGTCAAAATATGAGTTACAATATCTACATGATACAGTGGAGCAAGAGCACTTTTGACCATTTAATTTTAGTTGTTGAATTTTAAGATCATGATCCAAGGGGCAGGAATTGTCCCAGTGGTTAAGACACCATTTGGGATGCCCATCTGCCATATAAGGATTCAAGTCCCAGCTCTGTTTCCGATTGTAGCTTTCTGCTAATATACACCCTGGGAGACAGCTGGTGCTGCTTTAGCCACTGGCTTCCTACTACCCATGTGGGAGACCTGAATTGAGTTTCGGCTTCTGGCTTCAGTTCTGCTGAGCCTCAGCTGTTGCAGGCATTTTGGGGAGTGAATCAGCAGATGGAATCTCTCTCTCTTTTCTCGGTCTCTCTCTGCCTTTCTAATAAAATGAAAATACATTTTAAAAATTAAAAAAAATCATAATGCAGCAACTGTAATTAACACTAGTAATAAACGAGATTTTAAGGTCTTCCTCAACACACACACACAGAGATCCACAATATGTGATATGAAGTAGAAACTGTACTTACACTGTCCCTACCACACGTAGTTCCTTCTTCCACAACGAATATACCCTCGTTTGTTCTATTTCTTGCTCTTCCAGATACACATACGTGGCCTCCAAGAAAAGTGTATTGATAGTCAAACTCTCTTGATTGTATGATGGTTTCACTTGTCCATGTACAAACTAGGTGCCCACAAAGGGTATTCCTGGAGACATAAGTAATTCATTAGTCGCTTAAGTATGCAATGTATCAGGTAAATAACAATTTAAAAAATATAAAAATTCAAAATACTCCGATGATAAAACTAAAACTTTTTACAGCATACACTGACTTATGAAGAACAAACTGTAAGTGCATTTTCTATAAACTGCAGATGCTAACACACACACATACACCAGGTGCCTCTCTCTTTGCTCTGGGTGAGTCTACAGTCTATGGACATGCATTTGGAAAATAAAAAAATCTTCCAAATACTTACGTGAAAGTACAAAATCGCCCCCGACAACCTCCAAATTGGTCATGTAGAAAATTGATTTCTTGTCCACACAGATAAGTAGAACCTCTAGCATCTGAAAATGAAGACACAGTTAGAATTCCTCATGTTTAAAATACATAATTAGAAACCAAAAGTGGCAAATCAATGAAGAGGCATATTACAATAAGATGCCCAGTCAATGACAAACTGTATAAATTGACTTCCATCTACTACCTATACAAGAAGGAGAAACACTTCTTAAAAGCTAATCCAAATGAGAAAATGTGTACTATAGTGTAGAAATAACTGAGAAATAGGTCATTTGCTCTTTTGTTTGCTACTCTAAAGGTCTAGACTTTCCCACAAGTCAACTGGAATTGGACTGATGCCCTATTCTGTTCACCTCTTAATATAGGTCAGAGTGGCTTTAATTTCTTTTCAAATCTGGGTGGAAAAATTACAACATTTTCCAGTACAGCTATAAGATGCGCTTACTGTCTTTCGAGGAACTAAAGTTTAAACAGAAATCCCAGAAAAAAGATAAAAGTCTTACACACTCCAAGGAAGTCTGCACATTGTCTATCTAAATCTCGACACCTTCCTTTATAGCAGTAGGCAGTTTTATTCTGGCATGGTTCTAAGTCGGCAGCTTTTATGTCAGGTACACAAATTTCACTTGTTCCGTTACAATATTCTGGAAAATCACATGGATCTGTACTTTTTCTACACGATAATCCTCTATGGGCTATCTGTGAGACAAAGAAGAATATGTAAGTTTGAGTGTGTGTGTGTGTGTGTGTGTGTGTGTGTGTGAGTCCAGTTTCCCTCCACTCTCAAGGATTAAAAATGCGTGAATGAATGTCGGGGAGAAGAAGAGCTCTCTGTTTTTTTTTTTTTTCAAACATTGGCACACTATGGATTAGAAAAGTACAAAGCTGCAAACTGTGATCACGTATGAGAAAGTTTGAGAGTTGTCAGCAACAACAGGAAAAAGGAAATCCCAACAAAATGATTAGAAGAAGAATCCCGTCATTACTGTTTGAAACTTGGATTCACCCAATTATAAAGACAGACTCATTTTCAGTTCAAGCTTCTTAAGAGCTTATTTGTTTTTCTTTGCTTGCCCATTCTTCAGGATACAACTGATCAAATCATAACTGGTATTCTGGGGACACTAACATTTTTTAGTTTTTTATTTGAGAGGGCAGAGAGAGGGAGAGCGTGCGAGAGAGCATTCCCACTACCTGGGTTATTCTTCACATGCCCACAATAGCTAGGGCTGGTCTGGGCAGAAGCCAGGTACCAGGAACTCAAACCGGGTCTCACAAGCAGGGGGCAGGAACCTAATTACTTGAGTGAATTACTTCCGATTTCCATAGTCTGAATGACAGGAAGCTGGAGTCAGGATCCAGAGTTTGGGTATCAAGTACAGACATTCAGACATGAGATGTGCACATTGTTTTCAATGGGCTTTTGTGATCACTATTTATGTATTTATTTATTTATTTGAGAGACTTCTTGGGCTTTTGGCTGAGACTAAGCGTTGAATCTGAGAGACAGAATAAAGGGGATGTGGAGACAGAGAGAATTCCCAAAACGTGTTTGCAGCTGGACCAGGGCCAAGCTGAAGCCAGAAGCTGAGTGTGCCTAGTGGTAACTCACTTATCTGGAAGCAGGCAGAGAAGAAAACAGAATTTTACACTATGGCAAATAAAAATGGGAACACACTGGAAGACACCTGGAAACCTTTGAATGATATGTCAAATTCACGCCTTCATGCATGATAAAAATCAGTGTGGACTGATGTAACGACTCCAGATGTTAGGTATGGGGCCATCCTTGCAACTTGCACTGAGATTTTTCATTCTGCCAAGTTTTGCAATGATCTACATTTTAACCTACTCTTGAAGATGTAGTCAGAGGGCCGTGAAATGTTTAGAAAAAGCCTCGGCACCACTGTTCTGAAGACAAAGGCCAAGATGAGAGCTCTAATGATGGGAAAAGTAGAATGACCTATTGCCTAGAGATAGAAACCCCAGGCTGCTCTCTATATTTATACACTCTAAAAATCAAACAGCCGTTGACTTTAGTTACTAATCCATAGTGAAAAAGAACACGCTTTCCATTTCCTCCCATCTTGCAAAGCATTGGGTTTAATTGCTCCAAAGTAGACACGAAGAAGAAAGCTCAAGCCAAGAAGGCTAACGCCAGTGGCAAGTTCAAAAAGGTGAACACCAGGGTTGAGACACTCAAGAAAGGGAAGCCCTATTGCAGTCAGAACCCTACTGTCAGGAAAGGAATTGAAAGATATTTGTGACCTGCCATGAATCCCGGAAAGGCCGTCTTGAGAGGAAGTACCCAGCCCCCGGGGCGGGATTCAGTGAGACAGGGAGCAGCATTGTAGTGAAGTGGATGAAGCCACCTCTCGCCAGGCTGGCATCCCGGATCAGAGAGGCAGTATGAGTCCCAGCTGCTCTGTTTTTCGAGCTCCTTGCCAGTGTGCTCAGGAAAGCAGTGAATGTTGGTGCATGTAACTGTGCCCCTGCCACCCTTGTGGGAAATCCAGACAGATTTCCAGGCTCCTGGCCTTGACCTGGCCCAGTGCTGGCTGATGTGGCCACAGAGGGTGTGAACCAGCAGATGGGGGTATCTCCCTTTACCCACCTCTCCGGGCATTCTGCCCCTCACCCAGTCCCTCCTTCCTGTCAAGTAGATAAATCTTTTAAAAGAGGAAAAGAAACAGATTTTTCTGATTGACACAAAATGAGTTGACAGCAGCAAGCATGGTGGCAGCAGGGTGGTGAAGTTCTCCAAAAGCCTGGGCATTGTGCCACTGAGAATGAGTCTTGAAAGCCTGCTGACACGAAGCCACAGGCCGGCCAATCAGCACGTGAGGAAACGTAGGTCAGCCTCACCTAGCGGCCGAGCTGTACCTTGCAACTTCTGACACGGGAAATTTGTCATCGTCACTGTCACAAACACTGGGGGCGCCAGTGTGACAATCCCACGACATCTCATTAATGCTGAGTTCAAGAATAAGCTGCAGGAGCCCAGACACCAGCAGGGTGAGACATTCAGCAGGGAGAGAGAGATACACAAGATGACAGAGCAACTTGCAACTGACAAATGTTACGAAAATCAAAATATTCTTCTGCTTCCTGTTTAGGTTGGATCTTGTTTTACCCTTAAATTTGTAATTTATACTCACATATTGGTGATCTAAATTTCTTAGCAAGGACCCCGTTTTTTTAAGGGTACTTATTATTTTTTGCTAATTGTAACCGTCCTTGATTTTAACATAGAAAACTCTGTGAAGGTCCTTAAAAAAAGCACTTTCCAGCTACACGTCAGTCTTTATGCACCACGTGTCCTACACTGCTCCTCTTCCTGCCGTGTGGAAAGCAGGAGCTCTTGTTATCGTTTTCTGCTTATCAGACATTGCCCATGTGTGTAGGATAGTTCAACCAGGGCTTTGTCATGCGCTGTCTAATCATGAAGAGCTACATTCAGGCATAAACAAGAAGGATTAATAATGTCAAAATAACCTGGAGTTGGCACTGTGTGGAAGAACTGAGTGTGTCTTCAGTAGAGACTAAGACTGATTTAGAAATGGAGCTAAGAGGAAGACTGACAGACCCCAAAAGACATCTTCTGGATCCTGAAATCAGTTGTCCATGAAATGTCATTTACAAGCACACATAACTATTAACTCAAAAACAAATGAAATTACACATATATAAAATAATAAACTATGCTCTATATCTAGCTCCATAGAAAATAATACATATTCATTTAAAAACATGCTCTGTATAAAACTTAAGGACATTCAAAAATATTCGCATGCTATTAGGAACTAGACCAAGAGAAGCTTACCAAAAAGACAAAAAGTTAAAAAGATTGTTTTAAATAGCTAACAAATGAATGTATAAGAAGACTAAAACTTCATGAAACTAAATAATGTGATATTTTGAAAGCTTACTAGGCAAGTTTTATTATTGCAGCATGGTCCAGTTCCACATTCGGCAAATCCAATTAGCTCACAAGCATGGGGATTGCAGCATTTTTTATATATGCATGTCTGAAAGCAAATATATTCAAGTTAAATATGGAAATTTTCATTCACACAAATGACATTACAGAGTTTACAGATACGTCCATGAGCCCCATGACACATGATGGGTCACGGGCAGATTCATGTACAATGGTGGTCTCATAAGGTTGTAGAGGAGCTGAACACTTCCAGTCCCCTAGTGATGTGGTCATCTTCACTGTAGTGCAACGTTGCCACTCAAGTGACTGTGCTGGTGCTGGTGCAAACAAACCTACTACGCGTCAGTCACCTAAACTGTAACGACCAGCCCGGTACAGTGCATTCACTGATGACAGTGGCTCAGTGTATGGACTGCACTGTGCACTGGTCATTGCTGTGGCCTGTCCTCCTTCTACTTAGAAGAAAATAAAAAGTGAACCGTAAGGCAGCAGGCAAGTGTTTCAGGCAGTGTCCAGAAGACAGCATTGTTCCCACAAGAGATGACAGCTGCAGGCATGGCATTGCCCTGAGACAAGAAATGCAGGTGGAAGATGCCGTCATTTATAACACCGATCTGGTGTAGGAAGAGCAAATATGTGTGTTTTCTCTTAGTTTCCAACATAAAATTGTGATGTAAAAAAATTAGAATTAGAAACAGAAAAAAAAAAACTTTACAAAGCTATACAGAAAGGAAATACCTTTGTGCAGACTTACAGTGTGCGGTTTAAGCTGTTACTATAAAAGAGATAAAGAGCTAAACAGTTTTAGAAGTTCATAAAGTAAAAAAAAAAACAAGTTACAGTTAACTTATTAACACAGAGAGAAACATATTCAGGAAATTGTGTGGGGGTTAAGTGTGTGGCGTTCATGGAGTCTGTGGGAGCAGTGTCCTGGGCCTTCTCTCCCGCTCACTGCTCACTCACCCACCTGCCTAGAGCACAGTTCAGGGTGCAGTCATGGTGAGAGTCTCCTCCAGCTGTAGCATTCCTTATTGTGTGGCATATTTTAACTGCACGCTTCTATGTTCTATATCTACATGCATGAATATTTACCACTGTGTTGTAGCTGCCCACAGTAATTAGTAGAGTAACACACCACACAGGCTTGAGGCCAAGGAGCAGTAGGTTACGCCCCATAGCCTAGGTGCAGTAGGCTGGGCCTTTAGGGATGAAATTGCCTAACAATGCATTTCTCTAAAAGCAGCCAAATTAACTGATGCATGACAGCATATTATCGATCCCTCTTACACTTGTTGAATATCATGGTTAGTGGTGCATTAAGCCTTTGATTATAGAGTGGACTGAAATTATGTTTTTGCAAGAAAAAGAAAGGAAGGAAGGAGGGGTGTTTGACAGAGGGAGAGATTATGATTATCTTCTTAGAATTGCACCTATGAAATACATGATACTAATAATTTTTTTTAAAAAATTTTACAAAAGCCCTCTAATTTGACTTCTGAATTTATAAAAAAAAAAGGACTTATTAATTTATTTTGCCAGGAGCCAAGAACTCCATCCTGGTCTCTATTGCAAGTAGCAGGCCCCCAAGTACTTGAGCCATCTTCTGCTGCCTTGGCAAGAGCATCAGCAGGAAGCTGGATCGGAAGCGAAACAGCTGGGACTCTGGCTACTCATGTGCCACAACACTTTCACCTCAACTTTTGACTTTTTTTTTTTTTTTTGACAGGCAGAGTGGACAGTGAGAGAGAGACAGACAGAGAGAAAGCTCTTCCTTTGCCGTTGGTTCACCCTCCAATTGCCGTCGCGCTGCGGCCGATGCATCGCGCTGATCCGAAGGCAGGAGCCAGGTGCTTCTCCTGGTCTCCCATGGGGTGCAGGGCCCAAGCACCTGGGCCATCCTCCACTGCACTCCCTGGCCACAGCAGAGAGCTGGCCTGGAAGAGGGGCAACCGGGACAGAATCCGGCGCCCCGACCGGGACTAGAACCCGGTGTGCCGGCGCCGCAAGGCGGAGGATTAGCCTAGTGAGCCGCAGCGCCAGCGACTTTTGACTTTTGTATTTATCAGCACTCCACTCATAATATATGGTCCCTTTAGAGAAAAGGATGATAGAGTTACTCAGAATTCCATGGTGTAGATACCTTGTTATGTCAGAGATATGACACAATCAGTTTTCAGTCTTCTTGTGTGCACAAAAATACACAGTGTGATTTTTATAGTTTTTAATTTATTGTATTATCAGTGCTTTTCCATATTGTCAAGTCTTCTCAGAATATCATTTTGTGGGGCTGGTGCTGAGGCACAGTGGGTTAACGCCCTGGCCTGAAGCGCTGGCATCCCATATGGGTGCCAGTTCTAGTCCTGGCTGCTCCACTTCTGATCCAGCTCTCTGTTATGACCTGGGATAGCAGTGGAAGATGACCCAAGTCCTTGGGCCCCTGCACCCACGTGGGAGACCTGGAAGAAGCTCCTGGCTCCTGGCTTCGGGTCGGCACAGCTCTGGTCATTGTAGTTATCTGGGGAGTGAAACAGCAGATGGAATAACCTCTCTCTGTCTCTGTATCTACCTCTCTCTGTAACTCTGACTTTCAAATAAATGAAATAAATCTTTGAAAAATATATCATTTTGTACAGTTTCTCTATTTAGCAGTAGGTAACAGTAAAATTTATAAATGAGTAAAAGGGACTACCAAAGTGCAATTTTTTTTCAATTTTATCATTTTCACTATTGATGTGTTGAAAATTTTACTTCTATGCTCATTCTGGTGTATTTAATATTACAATGTTAATATTTCTGTTATGGTATTGTCTCTCTCCTTTCTTCTTTCCTGCTAAGCAATTTCATATTAACAGTATTAACCCCTAGCCATTAATATGAGGTTACTTTAAAGAAAGTTGTGGAAAAAAATTACAACAAGGTAATGTGCATTTCCCGTGATCTTTTTGAAGTAACCTTGTATGTGTTATCACATTTTACATGTTTTTCTAACACCTCAATTTTGTGTTGTTGGTAATTTTTGTATATTTTGATATTGTTAAATAGTATACCTTTATTATATCTAAAAGCTTGTCATCTAATCTTTGTGGTTTCATTCTTTGTGCCTATGGGTAAGACTCTCACCCCCATCATGGCCTCGGCAAATATGTGGAAGTCCTGTGTGTGTGTGTGTGTATGTGTGTGCACCGTTTGGAAGGGTTGGAGCGGTTTGTTGTGTGGTAAACTCGAGTGATGATTCTTTTCTCCAAAGGAGGCTCCATTTAGAAGTCATTGAAAAATTCAAGACACCAGATTTTTTTTATTCCCTTCATTCCTAGCTCTCCAAACTTTCATTTAATATGTCTTCATTATTTACTATCTTCTGAATTTTCCATTTGCCAATTAGATGGTAGGTGTTGACAAACTACTGATTTTTCTTATTTTTGGAATACACTTCAAAAGCATACTTTTTTCCATATCTTCATTGGTATTATTTCATGTTTTTGATTTCTAAATTTTGCATATCTTCCAAACATTTTCCAAAATATGAATCAAACTTACCTTAAGCTTGATATAGGAGGAATCGTTACTTCTATATGCCTACAAACCATGTTGAAACTTGACATAAAAAAACCTTACACACAACATACAATATAAGTCAAATCCATGAGAGTCTTAGCTATACAAGTTAAAGTCTTAAAAATATGATGGATTGCTTCTCAACAATTGTGAGAATAGGAGAAGAACAGTCTTTCCAATACATGGGGCTGCAGCAATTGGGTGTCCATATGGAAAAAAAATTTGACCTCATACTTAAAGCTTCCACTCACACCATACAGTGGAGTAAGGGTAGTTATTCAATAAATGCTGCTGGCAGTTGGCAAAGTGGATTTACATATGTACAAGAATGAAATTAGAGCCATTAACTCTCACCATATACATTTTTGTAACTGAAAGTGGATCAAAGGTCTAAATTTAAAACCTGAGACTAGGAAGTTGCTGGAAGAAAACATAAGGGAAACACTGGGACAGAGGATAGCTTCAGGGACAAGACTTCCAAAAGCACAGGCAACAAAAGCAAAACTAAATAAACGGGACTACATCAAACTCACAAGCTTCTGCAAACAAAGGAAATGATCAATAGAGTGAATAGACATCCAACAGAATGGGGAAAATGTTTGCAAATCACTGATATGACAAAGGATTAATATCCCGAATATATCAGCAACTTAAAAAACACAACAACATCAACACCCAATCCATCCAGTTGAGAAATGGGCAAAGGACTTGGACAGGTCTCAAAACAGGAAATACAAGTGGCCAACAGATAAATGAAAAAATGCTCAACATCGCTAACCATTAGGGAAATGCAAATCAAAACCCCACTGAAATATCAACTCACCCCTATCAGACTGGCTAAAATCCAAAACACAAAGAGTAACAAATGCTGGCAAGGACTTGGAGAAAGGGGAACACTTATATGGTGTTGGTGGGAATGTAAATTAGTGCAGCCACTGTGGAAAACAGTGTGGAGATTTCTTAAAAAACTAGAAATAGATTTGCCATATGATCCAGCAATCCCACTACTGAGTATATACACAAAAGACTTGAACACAATGTATCGAAGAGATACCTGCATTACTATGTTTATATCAGCACTGTTCACAACAGCCAAAATTTGGAATCAACTAAGGTGCCTATCATCACATGAATGGATAAAGAAAATCTGGTATATATATACAATGGAATATTATTCAGCTATAAAAACAAATGAAATTCTAACATTTGTAGCAAAATGGATGCAACTGGAGGACATTATGTTGAGTCAAATATGCTAGACCCAGATATACAAATATCTCATTTTGGGAGCTAAAATTTTAAAAACAAACCAAAAAAAACTAAGAAAAAAGAAATATCTATGTACATCAATATTGCAAAAATTATAGTTTTGTAAAACTGTTTTATATCTTTGTCAAATCAATGGTTATGATTGTTATATTACTATAATTTTAATGATCCATGATTACTTTAAAATTTACTGTATATGGGTGAATTGTTAATTTTCCTGTTGAATTATTGTTTGTATTCACGTGTACATCCCCACTAAACTAA